TTTTTTTTCCAAAGGTATGTGACAAAAGTGACCACACAAGATTTTTTTGTGGCACTTGTTATCCATTTCTGGGAGAAATTATGCCATTTTGTGGGGGGCGGGGGATTACTTTCGCTGGATTGGTTGCTTTTAATTCGCCCTTGTTTCAATCAGGACTGTCTCTTTTGTGTCTATCATTTCTTTCTTCATTTATTTTGTGTCCAAAAATATTGTGATGTCAATAAATATTTTTTTTTAAAGCGCCACATTTCTCAAGCGTGTTGAATCGGGGAGGGGTATGATCAGCAATTTATTGATCAGTTAAATCACAAGGCAAAATGGAGTGCACTCAAGGGGGGGGGGTCCTTCCTTTTTTGGTTTAAGATTTGTTCCAACAAATGAATTCAATTTGGTATCAAAGTTGAAACACAATGGAGTACTGAGGCATAGTTATAATTCCTGTACATATTTGTATGAAAACACTTCATAGCCTTGAATACAAAAACATAAAATGGAACACAATTCCTTACATGCTGCTCAGTATAGACTCACAGTGAAACATGAGTTCAGAACATTACAGTAAAAAAATATTTTTAAAAGAACAATGAATTCACTTTTGCCATAGTCTGTTATGGAAATTTAGGAGTGGATTTGTTAATTGTCAAATCAGCTCTGCAATATTTTTTTAAAATATGTTGTTTTGGAGAACTGAGTATCTATGACAGGATTGTGCCAAACACACAAGACAAATCAAATTAGATCGTTTTTTTCCATGCTTTTCATGAAAACATAAAAGGAAAAAAAAAAGGTCCGTGGTTCAAAAATGCGATTGGCTAAATTGTCCTCCAAATGTGGATTGACACTGCTATTTGAAGAGCGACAACAACTCTCAACACACAAGTGGCACCGGTGGACCTGATGAAAGTTGCCATGTGACTAGTCTCGTTTAAAAAGGCCTTCCATTTTGAATTCCTGCTTGCATTCACACTTTGTCACCTATAAAGTGGCAACGAGCGCTGAATGCCAGCAATGCGCAACTGGAGAGGACGCCGAGCATGATGGCTATGCGCTCAATGTTGTTGTGTTATTGATCCGATAATCAGATTATGCACTGAGGTATGCCCGCCTGGGCCACTGTCACAATTTAGCGGCTGCTATGTGTGAATCCTACCCCGCTCACTAACACGCATATAAGACTCAGCCAACTATGTGATTGGCTCTAAGCTGGGCAAATACATTCAGTAATGAAATTAAAAGAGTTAACTATCTCGGGCCAAGCATTTTTGATGTCGTTTCACACTTGACATGGCGCTTGAGGTTCGTACTTTTCACACTGGATACACCAGGATGGACTTTAGCAATTGCTCTTACTATGCGGACGCAACTATTATCACATTGTAGCCGTAAACGCAACATGGCATCCATAGCAGCTATGTTTATTACACAATCCAGTGGAAACTAAAGGATGAAAACTAATATTTTGATTGACATTGCCCTTCAAACTCACAGCAGGTTGTCATACTCATTTGCAATTAAGTGGTGAATGGGGCGTTCTGCTCAACATAAAATGCTGCCCTCTGTTGCTCAATTTGAAACATTGCAATTGCACATGCGGAGGCTCAAATAAATTACAAGAGGACGGGTGGTTTTTAGCCACGCAGCTGCTTGGTGAGCAACTGCGTGTGTATTTTCAATTAAAAAGGGAAATTAGAACAGTGTCGTTTTTTAATGTATTACAAAGTCAATTTTAGTATGAATGTCAATATGTGCTGTGGAAATGCAGATGTACTATGTGTGTTACAGACATATGCCGTATAAGGACCACGGAATGCTGGTTAAATTGCCTGGATTCATTTCTGGGTAGAAGGATTGCATCAATGGCCGAGTATCATCCAGACATCATCTTTGATTTACAAAAATCAGCACACGTTATTTTATATATTTTGGTTTTGCTGGTTCAAGTTTTTTTTTTAAATTGTGCTCCTGAGATAATGGTGGTGATTAGTTTGAATGCATTATTAGTTATTGATTTCATGTCATTTTATTTTTCAGTCTCGTATGGTCAGTCAAAAATATTGATTGTTCAATTCAGGATTGAATGTTATTTTTGAATTTCAGACTCACTTTAAATGTTTTCCGTTACAGTTACTAAAGCTATTCTATGTCATAAATTGGTCCATATTTCTTTCTTTTTTATTCTCTTATACGCTAAAGAGGATACAGTGTGATGCAAAGGTGAACTTAGAACAATTTCACAGACAAATGATACTATTTATAGTCGTGCGGGGCGTGGGGGGCTCGAGATGTTTCCCTCTTCTTGGGGGAGCATGACAGAAAATGATTGAGAAATAAATGGTGCCATTAAAAATGCATCGTCGCGCAATTTCTACTTTTATTTTACCATTGCTATCTAAGTGGCAAAGCAGGACTGCATGAACGATCTTTTGTTTAATTGGAATGACCTGGAGCAAGTGCGAGTGCTGACTGAACTTTGCACACACAAACAAGATCAAGATTAAGATTTCATTTATTTGTCCCACACTGGGGAAATTTACAGTCTACAGCAGCAAAATTGGGGGGTGGGGGGTAGAAAGAAGAAAAACAAAGTGTTTGCATGCACAAAAATAAATGCTTCAGAGAGAGCTGTACACAGTTCAATTTTATATATATATATATATATATATATATATCCCTAACGCCATTTGTAAAACGAGAAACACAACACATAAAAATGCAAATGAGAATGCATGCGCAGAGTAGCTCGTAAAAATGAATTACCCCCTTTCAGTGATACACCTCTGCCAAGAATACACGGTTGACCTCGCACTTTGAAGGAATCTCTCGTCAGTTATTAAATGTTCCCAAGCTATGGCACCGAATGGCACAACAAAAGTCAAACTTTCAGGTCATTTTTGCACATATGTGAGGACAAATGCATGGGACAAAATGTCTGTGAAGATGAGGGAAAAAAATATTGATGATGACGTAAGAACAGGAAATGGAACTTATCTCAACAGTGTCCTGGCTGCTCAGTACAACATAAACAATACACCATTTCGTAGAGGGCTCGTCCTCCTTATGGTCATCCTCAGCTGTCTTTGGGCAAGAGGCGAGTGGTTAGCTAGTGACTCATCGATCTGTGGTTTGGGGGTTGATTCTGAGCATTCCTAACTCCCACTTACTAAAAACATGCATGTTAGGTTCAATTTCGATGACACATTCTCTATAGGTGTGAGATCGGCACCCAGAGTGGAAACTAGAGTCGATTAACAAACACATTAAAATGGGTTATCATCCGGGGTTATTTTACGATCATACTGAGCATGCCCTTATGCCACACTCTTTGGGCCCCTTGGTACCAATTGAGCATCGTTGCAACGCCACAGCCTACCTGAGTATTGTTGCTGACCATGTCCATCCCTTTATGACCACAATGTACCCAACTTCTGATGGCTACTTTCAGCAGGATAATGCACCATGTCATCAAGCTGGAATCATCTCAGACTGGTTTCTTGAACATGACAATGAGTTCACTGTACTCAAATGGCCTCCACAGTCACCAGACCTCAATCCAATAGAGCATCGTTGGGATGTGGTGGAACGGGAGATTCGCATCATGGATGTGCAGCCGACAAATCTGCGCCAACTGTGTGATGCAAAATGATGATGTTAATCTGTCAGATATCTCCAATGAACTCGAACAAAAATCCTACCGTTTGGGGTCATGGAGTAATGGACTCAGCGGTTGAAAAATAGGAACTGAAAGATAATCATTCAGGAAAATGGAACTGACTGAAGCCTGAAAGAGAAGAGTTAGCCTTTGAGAGGGGCTACCAGCTAAAATAATCGCTAGCCTACCTTCCTTTTTTTCCCCCAGTAGTTTGGATGCTCCGCAGCATACTGCTGCCTTTCACACATCAATTCGGGTACTACACTAGGAGTGTCGGTTGACAACTCGTTAGTACATGGTGGCGATGATTATGTACACCAGTATATCCAGAACAATGCGATACGGAATTTTTCTTTTTTCGATTAAAGATCGTCATGCATTGGTTCTTCATTCCAATGTGATTGTAGAAACAACAAAGGGAACTCTTAACCACATTTAAAAAGACTGGAAGTTAAAAAAAAAAGACAGGAGTCGTCAATAGTCGCAATAAGTTCAAGGTCTGCTGAATTTCTAAGGAACTACCCTAGATTCCCAAACTAACCGCATCATAAAAAACATTAAGGATTGAGCACTTCCCCATTTCAATGATTGCTGCTGACAGCCACCTGATTGGACACACTGCAGGTCATACATGGAGCGAGCTTTATCAGAGAAAGTCAGGAGTCATCAAATGCCGCAATGCGTTCAAGATCTGCCAACTTTCTAAGGAACTACTCGAGATTCCCAAACGAATCACATCATAAAAGACAGTCATGATTAATCAATTCCCCATTTCAATGATTGACAGCACAACATTTTATAGGCTGTTAACAGCCAACTTATTGGACACACTGCAGGTTAGAGGTAAAATCGGGCCTAAAAAATTCAGCCCGACCCGGCCCAAGACCGACTAATTAACTTGATTTGCAAGCCCGAGCCCGAAGCAAACCCAAAAATGACATTATTTATTTGTGAGGACTCAGGAGGAAGAGGGGTGATTTCTGAGAACAAATTCAAGCCTGTCTTTTGGAACGAAATCTAAGTTAAACAAGAGTCTATCAACATTTCCATTTTTTATATTTCTGTTTCTGCACAGGGTACATTAACCGACAATTTTCCATCGACGGGGAAAAATTTAAGGCCGTCTGTCATTTTGACGGGTTGAAAATTGGGCCATAAACCACAGCAGCAGTGCATCCTTACGAATCTAGCGCGGCACTTTAAGAGAGGGAAGCAGAGAGTCAAAGAAGAACAATGACGGGTGCACAACAGACAGAGACAGGAAGGAGTTCTTTGAATTGTCATTGCAAGAGTTTCGTACAGTGAGTGTTGTGATGAGGCGACTTGTTTTTTTGCGAACCGCGGTCTCTCGTGGCCAAAACTATTCACGGCCTCGAAACTAAAAAAAACAAACAAAAGGCAGCGAGAGAGAAACCCGGCACGACCCGACCCGAACTCAAAGCAATGATTGACATTTTAGGTCTGACCAATTCGGGTTGGGCTCGGGCTTCAGATTTTACCTCTACTGCAGGTCATATATGAAGCGCTCTAGATTAGATAAAGATCTGAGAACGGGCATTGCATCACCCACAAGTGGTTACCCGCGACACACACACGCACGCACGCCCACATGCACACACACCAACGACACTGAGGCAGCAGCTTTACGATGGTTCGTTGTTTTCATGACTGCAAAGAAAGCCAAACAGACTTCAAAATAGTCAACGAATGCGGGGTACACGGAGTAAACCGATATTGTTAACTGCACTAGAAAAAACAAAAAAAAACGTGAAACAGCGAAGCCACGGAAAGTGAACCGCGTTAGAGCGAGGGATCACTGGACAAAGGAACTGAACGATAATCATTCAGCATAGAAAGGGTTCCGTCAGTCGTCATCTGTACCTGTGGGTAAAAAACAAAAAACAAAAAAGGACATTTCGCTTCTCTCACAGAAGCTTCGTCAGCGGTAGACAACCCTGAAGTCTCTGTGAAGACTCCGGGAAGTTGCTCTGCGCTAAAAAGCTGCGTGAAGACTCCGGGAAATTGCTCTGCGCTAAAAAGCTGAGCGTGGCCTATTTGAGGACTGGGTGGTCCAGGTATTCCTGTACAACTGAGAGCCTCCACAAGCAGCGATAATCATTCAGGAAAATGGAACTGACCGAAGAAGACAGAAGCCTTCAAGAGAAGAGTTAGCCTACGAGAGGGGCTACCAGCTAAAATAATTGCTAGCCGACCTTCGTTTTTTTTCCCCCAGCAGTTTGGATGCCCCGCCGCAAACTGACTGCTGCCTCTCACACATCAATCCGGGTACTACACTCGGTCACGTTTGACGAGTGTCAGTTGACAACTCGTTAGTACTGTATATGGTGGCGATGATTATGTACACCAGTATATCCAGAACAATGCGATATTGATTTTTTTTTCTACTTTTTTTGGAATGAAGAACCAATGCATGACAATGTGATTGTAAAAACAACACAGAGAACTCTTAGCCACATTTAAAAAGACTGGACGTTCAAAAAAAAAGGGACAGGAGTCATCAATAAAGGATATCTTAAATCTTAAATAGCCGCAATAAGTTCAAAGTCTGCTGAATTTC